CGTGCGGCTCCACGCTGGCGTATCAGTTCGAGAGTTTCCGGAGACAGACGTCCCTTGGTGACTTTCAAACTCTCTGCCTTCCTGCCACAATCGTGAAGATGTTCAACGAGCCGATAGTACTCCTCGTCGATGTTTTCGATGACGGAATCCTCCCATAAGCTGACGAGGGAAGCGAAGTGGTCCCAGTTGATGACTGTCCTGGGGCTTCGCTTCCTGAACTTTGCTGCTCTCTCAACACGCATCGAGAAGTGGAATCTTGCGCGGAGGAGACGATGGTCCGATCCCGTGTAGAACTTTGGAACAACAGCGACGTCGGTCAGGCAAAACCTTCGATTGAAGATGATGTGGTCTATCTCGTTATGGAACTGTCCATCAGGTGACTCCCAAGTCCAACGAAGGTGAGAGGGCTTTTGGAACTGTGAGTTACCATGGATGGTGTTGGTCGACATGATAAACTCCGACAGTCTCTCGCCCTGCTCATTCCATTCCATTCCGTGAGTACCGAAGTTCTTCAGCCGTTCTTCTTGGGCCAATCTTAGCGTTGAAGTCGCCGACGATGACCTTGAAGAAGGTATGATCTTCCTGTAGAACTTCTCCAATTCCATATAAAATGCTTCGTGTTCCTCCTCGTCGTAGCTGGATGTTGGTGCGTAGGCGACGAAGATTGTCAAAGCAGGAGTTGAACCACATCTCAATCTCAAACGTCCGATTCGGGTCGTAAGGCTTTCGTACGAATCGATGTTTATGGCCAAGTGCGTGTTGACGAGGACACCCACACCGCCAACGCCTCTGCTGTCGCATGTTCCAAGGAACAGTTCTTCTCCAGTATCGAAAACGGCGTGTAGCGGGCGGTGCCTTCTCGTCTCGGTCAGTCCGATGACGTCGTACTTGATCTTCCTGGCCTGCATCATCAGATCTTCGATGTGAGCTTCGGATGCAAGCGTTCGTGCGTTGAAAGTACAGATCGCCATCTTAGTCCTTCTTCGTTTAGGCAGCCTATCCGGGCCCTGAGATTCTAGCAGCCTCTCCCGAGCGGTCCTACCCAACGCTGCCGTATTGGGGGCTCCCTCAGGTTCAGGGGAATGAGGCCCATCCATATTGCTGTTTTCGGCATATTGAAGGCACACGAGTAGCTTGCCAGGCTCTGTCGTGTGGCTAGGATAGACCTCCAGGTAGTTATCCACGCTATTCTGGAGCGGAACAAGGGGCTTATTTTTCGGACGCCG